TGTGCATCACTTCAGTCAACGTTGTTAATGTCCCCAAGATTTCTCTGAATTGGGATTGAACAGGAAATGCAAGTAAAGCTTAATGTTTTTGGTGCAAGATATTCAAGTGGTAGAAGTTCCACTGCATATAAGAGGAGAAGCAGTTTTTTTTGTTTTTTTACTTGTCCATGGAAGCTCAGCGTGATGGGTCCTGACAAGTGGAGGGAGCAATTTCATCTACCACCAGGTGCACTGGTGGAGCAAGGGGGTGGCCAATGGTGGCCAAAGCCACCATGGATTAATTTTGTGGCCATCCCAATCATTTGAAGAAACTATGCTTTTTAAGCAATATAAAAACTAGAAAGCATAGCTTCCTCAAATGATGGTGAGGGGGGGCAGTTTATATCAGAGTCAGAGAATTTTATTGTCATACACACCACATGTGGTACACATGGTGGAACAAGATTATGTACACAGTGTCCCAGTTACATGAGTCTGTGTGAGCAAATGAGTACAAATGAACACAGCAGCATGAAACAGATCAGCAGCAACATGAAACAGATCAGCAGCAACATGATGTGATTTTCACAGTGATTATCCTGGTGGCAGCACGGTGGCACAACTGGTAGAGCTGCTGCCTCTCAGAGAGAAGGTTGTCGGTTCAAATCCTGGTCATGGGGCCTTTCTGGGTGGAGTTTGCATGTTCTCTCTGTGCATGTGTGGGTTTTCTCCGGGTACTGGTTTCCTCCCACAGACCAAAAACATGCATGTTAGGCTGATTGGTAACTAAATTGTTTGTAGGTGTGAGTGAGAGAGTGAATGGTTGTTTGTCTCGTTTGTCTCTATGTGGCCCTGTGATGGACTTGCGACCTGTCCAGGGTGTACCCCGCACCTCGCACAGTGATTGCTGGACATGGGCACCGGCGACCCCCGTGACCCAAAATGGAAGAAATGGGTAAAAGATAATGGATGGATGGTATTTCCAATTTCCCCTCTTCGCTCCGTGACACAAAGTTCTTGTGGATTTTGTTTTCTTTGATAAAAAAGGGACGTTCCTCAAACCCCACCCCTACACATCTGATAACATTTAAAAGTCTAAAAAGTTATTTTAGCTCAGGTGGATGCAGAGGTAGGGAGAGACATGTACTACACCAATTTACAAATGTCCACCACATAGGACAAATATGAACTACGGGTAGTTAGGCACATCAGCCTTTTTACAAAATGGTCCAAATCCATTTTTTTCAAAAATTAAAAAATAAAAATAAAATAAAAATCACAGACAAATACAAAATCTGCCCAATTCCCCGCAGAGAAAATCCATAGTTAAAGCATGAACTTGGTGCACGAGTCACAGAGACGCTGCTGCTCACACACTGCAGAGCACGTGTGTAATAGATGGAGGGATGTTGGTGTATGAACACACTTCCTTTACTTCCAGTCAACGAGTCCTGCTGTCTATTGCATCTGTTTTACACATTTTACTGCCTTTATTACGCGAATGTGCAAACCGGCTCTCATACAATGACAGCCATCTGTCAATACACACTCACACATGCACATGCACGCACACACATGCACAATCCTGCCCACCCAAACATTGTCATTTTCACCTCCAAACAGTTTTGAAAGCTGTCTGTAAAGTCTGCAGATAAATCAGTGGAGTTCTGCAGACACAAAAGGCACTGCAGCAAGAGCAGCTAAACTTTTCTGTGTGTTTCCACACTTTTCTCCCCGGCAGAAGTGAAAATCTGAAGGTCTTTGAGTTCAAATGAGAGCGTCGGAGAAACAGCTGAGGTTAAATTTACGTGAAGCCACACCTGAGACCTTAGAACATGAATGCCGATTTTCTCCGGGGGCCGTTTCACATCCTGCTCCGTGAGACTGAGTGCTTTGATTTGGGATTCTTGAAACTTCTAAAGCTCATTTGCAAAACGACTGAGTAACAATTTTCACTCAGAAAACAGTCTGTTATTGTTCCTCTGCAGCGCACTGCTGTCAGAGTGTCTCGTTGTGAGTTATCAGGCTGTAGAGAATGTTTGCCCACAGCAGGACAGGCCTGGAAGCTGAAGAAAAGGTACAGATGTTATCAATTATCAAGAGCCTCCGAGTGATTTACTGCACCGTACACCCTCATAATGTCTCGTTTTGTGTGCAATTACAATTCTGAGTGACCTTCCTTTAATTGGTAGCATTTCATATTTAAAGAAGGCAATGAAAACTTGAGTGATAGAAGTAAGATACAAAAAAATACAATTGAAACTTGTACTATGAACTCACAAATTCACTCAACATAAACACAAGCATTAAAAAGAGGGGGGCGTTAGATCAGTGACAAAGAGAAATAAATAAAAGAGAAATTGGATTTTTAAATTTTATTTTGCACACTCAACATGTTTGTGTGTCTGGTAGCAGAATATTTCATCAACCAGTGGACAAATTGTAATGAAACTTACAGAGAGTAGTCATTGGATGTTCAACTGATTAACAGAGATGGCTGCCACAGCCAAATGAAGTACAAAAATAGCTATGATTTCATAAATCTTCACAGATGTGCTAAAATCTGTTAAAGTTGAACGTGAGAGTCATTAACATCACATACTCTCAGAGTGAGCTCACACACAATGGTACTTCAAAAGTTTGATTAAAACATGTCCCCTGTCATTTATCAACTTAATGTAAAACTCTGGCATGGAAGAAGTTCTATAAAAAAATGTTGAGATTTAACTGTTTTTGTCTGACCATTGAGACTTTGTCTGTCTGATGGCAGAAGCTGGAGGAAGTGATGAAGAGGATGAGGACTCCTGCCATCTGGCTTTTGGTCACAGAGGCATGCGGCTCACAGAGGAGGAGAACCGAAGGTTTACTGACCTCTGATTGTGTGGCAGAGTTTAATTTTGGGGTCGTTGGGAAGTTTATCAGGAGGAGATGAATTCTGGGATCGTTTCATTGATTGATCAATAAATTTAGCCTTTTGTGGAGATACCACAAAGAAACCACTACGTGAAGCTAAACTCATATTTTAGTAAATATATATTGTAATATAAATGATCAGCCTGAATACTAAAATAAAATCCATCCATCCATCATCTTTACCTGCTTCTTCCTTTTTGGGTTGCGAGGGTCAATGGCGCACTCAATGAGAGGTGGGAGACACCCTGGACAGGTTGCAAGTCCATCACAGATAACACAAAATACATATAAATACATACAAATAAATAAGAAAAATAAATAATTTAGCATTTCTACCCAAAATAAATTATTTAAATAAAAAATGTATAACAACAACAAGAACAATAATAATCCTTCCATCCTTTATCTTCACCCGCTTCTTCCTTTTCAGGACACGAGGGTCACTGGTGCCCATATCCAGCCATCACTGTGCAAGAGGCGGGGACACCCTGGACAGGTCTCCAGTCCATCACAGGGACAAACAACCATTCGCTCTCTCTCTCTCTCACACACACACCTAGAGACAATTTAGAGTTACCAATCAGCCTAACATGCATGTTTTTGGTCTGTGGGAGGAAACCGGAGTACCTGCAGAAAACCCATGCATGCACGGAGAGAACATGCAAACTCCACCCAGAAAGGTCCCGGTTTGAGATTTGAACTGGGGACCTGCTTGCTGAGAGGCAGCAGCTCAACTGCTCCACTGTGCTGCCCAACAACAACAACAACAACAATAACAATAAGGATGATGATAATAATAATGATGATAATAATCTAAATCCAGTAATTTGGGGTTGAAGGCAGATTTATTTAATTTTTGTTGCCCAGTATCCTTTCTTCTTAATTTGCTTTAATTTTATTTTTATAATTATGTTACTTTTTATGTGTCTCTGGTTATTAATAGCTTATTTTGTCAGTCTTCTTTCTTGTCATGTCTTTTACTTTTCCTGTGAGAGTAGCTCTGCTGCAGCTTCCAAGATGGCCGCTAACGACCT